GGGGATTAGTCTCGGTCTTAGGGGTTAGTCTTCAGGGCTTACTCTCAGTCTTTAGGGGTTGGTCTTCAGGGGATTAGTCTCGGTCTTAGGGGTTAGTCTTCAGGGCTTACTCTCAGTCTTTAGGGGTTGGTCTTCAGGGGATTAGTCTCGGTCTTAGGGGTTAGTCTTCAGGGCTTACTCTCAGTCTTTAGGGGTTGGTCTTCAGGGGATTAGTCTCAGTCTTTAGGGGTTGGTCTTCAGGGATTACTCTCAGTCTTTAGGGGTTGGTCTTCAGGGGATTAGTCTCAGTCTTTAGGGGTTGGTCTTCAGTGCTTACTCTCAGTCTTTAGGGGTTGGTCTTCAGTGCTTACTCTCAGTCTTTAAGGGTTGGTCTTCAGGGGATTAGTCTCAGTCTTTAAGGGTTGGTCTTCAGGGCTTACTCTCAGTCTTTAGGGGTTGGTCTTCAGGGCTTACTCTCAGTCTTTAGGGGTTGGTCTTCAGGGCTTACTCAGTCTTTAGAAGTTGGTCTTCAGGGGTTTACTCTCAGTCTTTAGGGGTTGGTCTTCAGGGGATTAGTCTCAGTCTTTAGGGGTTGGTCTTCAGGGGATTAGTCTCAGTCTTTAGGGGTTGGTCTTCAGGGATTAGTCTCAGTCTTTAGGAGTTGGTCTTCAGGGCTTACTCTCAGTCTTTAGGGGTTGGTCTTCAGGGGATTAGTCTTCAGGGTGGTTAGCCCTCAGTGGTCATTTTAGCGAAAAAAACTCACAAAGATTTGGACAATAACGTACATCCACTGTCCTTCCACACTACCCTGGACTCAGTCCTGCAGGCATGACCACACAGATCCAAAGCAACAAACTACAAAAACAGTACTTGTACTTGTACACCTGTCCCCCTCTCACTCTGTCTAATGTGATCTCCTGAAGGTCAGCCTGGAGCTGCACAGATTGAACAATTCAACACCAATATTCTGAACTTTGGTTGAACTACAGGGTTTTCTTTTGGGAGGCTGAGTTCTTCTGACTCATTTCCTCTAAACTCACTCACTCCTCTGGCTAATAAATGAGCTCTTGCTTGTTGAGGTTTTTTCAGAAACACCATAGTGTATCGTATTTCATTGATATAATATGATGTTTTTATTTTTCCTCATCCAACCTTCTGTGGTTTTTTTTTAGTTTTTCTTTGTAAAGGTAGTGCGACCCCTGCTGGTTGCTGCATGACCTGATCACCTGTTCCTCATGTTTTTGTTGTGTGTCTTCTTGAATGGGTGTTCTTAAATGTAATTTCATTGTGCTCTGTACAATGACAATAAAGGCATCAATCAATCAATCAATCAATCAATGTAAACTAATTAACCCAACACCTGTGCAGGGAAACAGATCAGGTGCAGGTGGGAGTGGCAGCACAGAAATAGAAGAGCAGTAAAATCAGAGAACACAGACATAAAAACTCAAATCTTAAACTAGGAATGTGTGTTTATAAAGGAATAAAATGGTCTGATCCCATCTGTCATTCAGATAGAGGTACTGTATGTGATCAGACCTGATGGTTCTGTTCCTTCCCTCCTTCATTCATCCACAGCAGACATTAATGATCCAGTGAAGAAGCTGCAGGAACACATCAGGTTTTCATGTTGGCTCTGGACTCAGGAATGTGTGCACTSTTTCTGCTATCTTAAGTTGATCCTAAATTTGGCCTTGGCTCCAGAGACTGACCCATATGTCACGCAGGGAACTCCCTCCATCTGTCAGATACATGCCGTCACACAGTTTATTCTGATGTCTGACTCTCAGGACCTTTATCGCCACTTTGTCTTGTTGTCCTGCAAACATTTAGATATTTTCCACTTCCTGGGTCATGTTCCTGTGAGGTTTGTTGAAAGGAATTCCAGCAGCAGCTGCTGGTACGATGCCGTCGCTCCTCTTTTCTGCCTTTGTGCCTTTTTTTCTGACTCTGGTTCTTCTGTGTCTCTTGATTTTCATCCCTCGTTCAGGAGGAAAGAGTGGAAGCAACAAGAAGGCAGATGGTGTCAAAGTAAGTGAAGGAGACAAAAAAAGATTTAGTTCAACATTTCTACACTGGGCTGGCTGTGCTAGACTGGTTAGGGAACTGGTTCAATACCCCATTCCATCCGTCTCAGTCGTTGTGTCCTTGGGCAAGGCACTTCACCTGCCTTACCTACGGATGGTGGTCAGAGGGTCCGGTGGTGCCGGTGCATGGCAGCCCACCTCTGTGCCCCAGGGCAGCTGTGGCTACAATGTAGCTTACCACCATCAGTGTGTGAACGACTGTTAGCATAAACCATTATGGAGTCTGTAGAGATTTGATAAAACACAACTTAAACTGGATGTTTAAATACACATGAACCCAACAGAACCAGAGCAGAACCAGAGCAGAACCAGAGCAGAACCATCATGTGTCTTGTTGTTGTTTCAGGAGTCCTCAGAGAGCACGAACACCACCATCGAAGATGAAGACACCAGAGGTGAACATCAGTTGATCCAACGACCTGTCACTGCTGATTCTACAGTGATACTGACCTGTGTGTGTGTGTGTGTGTGTGTGTGTGTGTG